AAAGCATTTCTGCTAAAAACTGGAACAAGACAAGGATGTCCTCTTTCACCACTTCTAGTCAACATCATCCTTGAAACTCTAGCCACAGCAATTAGACGAAAGAAAAGAAAAGACAAAAGAAATAAATTAAAGGGATACAAAAAGGTAAAGAAGAACTCAAATTATCACTATTTGCTTTTGACATGATTCTATATCTAGAAGATCCAAAAAATTCCACCAGAATACTTCTAGAACTAATAAATGAACTCAGCAAAGTAGTAGGATATAAAATCAACACTCATAAATCAAACACATTCCTATACATCAGTGATGAATACACTGAAAGAGAAATGAGGAAAACTACTCCATTCACAATAACCTCAAAAATACCTGGGAATCAATCTAATAAAAGAGGTGAAAGACCTCTACAATGAAAACTACAGAACACTAAAGAAAGAAATTGAAGAAAACCTCAGAAGATGGAAAGATCTCCCATGCTCCTGGATAGGCAGAATTAATATTGTCAAAATGGCCATACTACCAAGAGTGTTATACAGATTAAATGGAATTCCTATTAAAATCCCAACAACATTCTTCATAGAAATAGAAAAAACAATCATGAAATTTATTTGGAAAAATAAGAGACCCAGAATAGCTAAAGCAATCCTCAGTAATAAAAGTGAAGCAGAAGGCATCACAATACCAGATCTTAAACTACACTACAGAGCTATAGTAACAAAAATGGCATGGTAGTGGCACCAAAATAGACTTGTAAACCAATGGTACAGAATAGAGAACACAAACACAAACCCACACAAATATGGTTATCTCATACTAGACAAGGGTGTCAAAAACATTTACTAGAGAAAAGATAGCCTATTCAACAAATGGTGCTGGCAAAACTGGAAATCCATAGGTAGCAAAATAAAATTAACTCTCTATCTCTCTCCCTGCACAAAAATCAATTCAAAGTGGATCAAAGACTTAGGCACTAAAACAGAGACCTAATAGAAGAAAAATAGGCCCAAATCTTCACCATGTTGGCCTAAGATCTGACTTCCTTAACAAGACTCCTAAAGTGCAAGAAGAAAAATCAAGATTCAATAAATGGAATGGATTCAAACTAGAAAGCTTCTTCTCAACAAAGGAAACAATTAATAACATGAGGATAGAGCCTACAGATTGGGAGAGAATCTTTACCACATGCACCTCCGATAAAGCATTAATCTCTAGGATATATAAAAAACTCAAAAATCTTAAAAAAAAAAAACAATTAATAAATGGGCTAAGGAACTGAACAGACACTTCACAGAAGAAATACAATTGATCAATAAATATATGAAAAAGTTTTCAACATCTAGCAATTAGAGAAATGCAAATCAAAACTACTAAGATTTCATCTCATTCCTGTCAGAATGGTAATCATCAAGAATACAGGCAACAATAAATTTTGGCGAGGATATGGGGAAAAAGGTACATGCATACATTGCTGGTAGGACTGCAAATTGGTACAACCACTATGGAAAGCAGTGTGGAGATTGCTCAGAAAACTGGGAATGAAACCGCCATTTGACCCAGTTATCCCACTCCTTGGTTTATACCCAAAGGACTAAAATCAGCATACTTGGTGGGGGTTGTGGCTCAGCGGTAGAGCACTCGCCTAGCACATGCGGGGCACTGGGTTCAATCCTCAGGACCACATAAAAATGAAAGAAAGAAAGGAAGGAAGGAAGGGAGGGAGAGAGGGAGGGAGGGAGGGAGGGAGGAAGGAAAGAAAGAAAGAAGGAAAATTAGCATACTATAGTGACTCAGCCACATCAATGTTTATAGCAGCTCAATTCACAATGGCTGGACTGTGGAGCCAACCTAGGTGTCTCTCACTCAACAAATGAATGGATAAAGAATATATACTCAATGGAATATTACTCAGCTTTAACAAAGAGTGAAATTATAGAATTTGCCAGTGAATGGGTGGAGTTGGAGAATATTATGTTAAGAGAAATAAGCCAATCTCACAAAACCAAAGGCTGAATGTTTTCTCTAATATGCGGATGCTAATTCACAATAAGGCCAGAGGCATTAGGGAAGAACAGCATTACCTTAGATTAGTAGAGGGAAGTGATGAGAGGGAGTGGGGGGATGTGAGGATAGGAAAGATAGTAGAATGAAACATACATTATTACTGTATGTATATATGTGACTCCATGACCAATGATTCTGCAACATGTACACTCAGAAAAATGAAATTATATCCCATCTATGTATGATATATCAAAGTGCATAAATGCATTCTATTGTCATGTATAACTAATTAAAACAAACAAAAAATTTTTTAAAAATATTTTGAGTTAATTAGAAATACAATTTATTCTATGGGTTGGTATTTTCACATATGCAGCTTATGAATACAGTTTTCACAATATAACCTTAAAATATTAATTGATGCATTATAAACATTGTATTTGTCATCTTTCTATGTGTAGTATGGGAGTTTATACCCAGGCCTTCATGCATGCTAGGTGAGTGCTCTACCACTTAGCTACTTACCCAGCCATCTTAAGAGGATTCTTCAACCATTAATCATCCTTTAATGACTAAAAGACAGTAGTAAGATAATATTTCAAAGATAGTATTTAAAATTAGAATTGAAGCTATTCTCCATTGAACCAAATTACCTTAAACTTACCAGGTAACCCAGCATCTACAAAAAGAGTATTTCTTTAATAAAAACAGTATGATCTACAGAGAAGTATCAGGTGAGCTGTTGACAATTCCTAGTATACTAACCATAGGGACAAATTTTAAGGTGATAAAAAAACTTATGAAAAATAAATATAAAAATCACATAAAAATAAAGAAAATTAGGGTTGATGTCACGGCTCAGTGGTAGAGCATTTGCCTAATATGCATGAAGGCCTGGGTTCAATTCTCAACACCAAAGAAAGAAAGAAAGAAAGAGAGAGAGAGAGAGAGAGAGAGAGAGAGAGAGAGAGATTGTATTCATCTACAACTAAAAAAATCTTTAAAAAAAAATACAGAAAGAATTAACATCAGAAAACTCTTAAGGGGAAAAACAAAAACCACCACGTGATTTCAGACAAATATAGTTTAAAAAATGATTAACATAAATGTACCCCCAAATTTCTTAAATTTTGCTTAATGTACATACATGTATTTTAAAGAATTTAGTACTGAATATAATCTTTAGTAGAACTATTTGTAATCTATTATACAATAAACCAATATTTCAAAATATTAGTTTAAAATTATATAATCCTATTGACTTTTATTACTTGCTTTTGCTCTCAAAATTGTCTGGGTTTAGAGGATAAAATACATTAAATTACATTTCACACTAGTGAGAGAGACCCAAAGACTGATCAGCTGATTCGACCTAATTTCACTACCCCATAAATACTTATTCTTTCTCATTCTCATCTGATGACCTATTAAAGTGAGTATTAAATGAGAAATTAAATAAGGATGCCAGAATATTTTGAGATTTAGCTATAAACCATCCCCAGGCAAGAACAAGTTGAAAATTTCCCCAGTCCAATCTCCAACAGGGACATTTAGGGATTATGGTGCAACTCTTTCTTTGCTTTATAAATACTGGATATAAAATTAAAATTATAGATCCAGCTTCTTAACCCCAGCAGGAAGGATCACATTTGAATAGCATGTTCCAGGGAAAGTCCTGTTTAAGGAAGAAAACACAATTAGACAAACACACAAATCAGTGGTGCAGTAAAAGAATAATATAACCTGGCTACATGAGGTCTCCTCAGGATCACAAAAATGGTTCAGTTTGGAAAAATGATAAGCCTTTTTTATCAAATGAGGAAATCCATATCACTCTTTATAAGAGATTTAGTTTGGGAATAATGGCTGCCTTCTCAACATGGTAAACAAATTCAGTACTGTATCTAAAGAAAAATACTAGAATCAGACCCTCCCTGATACCAGGGACAAGAAAGTCATCATTCCCATATTTAAGAACTGTATTTGTTAATATACTCAGAGAAAATAGACAAAGAAAGGAGGGGAGGACAGATGAAAAGATGGAAGAAGGAAGCAATTCATGAATGATAACCTGGATTGGGGAGTAGCAAACTGTTTCTATAAAGGGTAAGTTAGTAACTATTTTGGACTTCACAGGCTGCACAGTTCCTGGTACACATACTCAGCTTTGCTGTTGCAGTGTGAAAGCAGCTACAGATGATATGTGAGCAAAGAACAAGGCTGTGCTCCATCCACCAAATCTTTATTTGTAAATTGTAAAATTTGAATTTTATACAATTTTCATGTATCACAAAATATGATTCTTCCTTTGATTCCCCACCCCCATCCATTTAAAAGTATAAAAGCCGTTGTCAGATCCTGAGCTACACAAAACAAATGAACCAGTTGTTCACCCCTGCTTTAGATCATTTTAAGTAATTAATTAAATAATATCTATTAAATATAAACAAACCTATCTAATTGCTTTTTTTTTATTTTTTGCACAAGATTATAAAGAGTGATCAAATTATGAAAATATTTAATTTTAAAACAGCATTTTATTTCATTCTCAGAAAAAAGGATCTGATTTCTGTAGTAGTTAATTATATTCCTGTAAACAGAGTAACCCTTAGGAATTTCAATTTGCTTTGTATCTAATCTGCAAGCCTCCCAGAACTCTCATTGAGACAATGGCGTACACAGTTTCTACATTCATTTCCCACCCCCACCCCTTTTTTTTTTGGTGCTGAACTCCAGCCAAATAATAAATTACCCTGGGAAATAAAAGGTAGGGGAGAAAGACACAAAGATGGTCTTTGGCCTCATTTTATGAGGACATTTGATCTTAATTTAGAGACGAAAGCTTTTCTACTGAGAGAAGCATGAGAACTGGAAAGATACAGAATTTCTCAGACAACCCTAGTCTGGTAAGTTTGCAGGTGACAACACTCCTGATTCTATAGGTGAGGTTGTAGGTCAGGTGTGTGGGTGTGTCTGTAAACCCACACCCCTTTTTAACCAGAAACATCCAGAGCACACTTTCAGCAAGAGCACTGACTGGTTCAGGTAAGCAAACAGTTTCCAGATGCCTTAAATCAGCAGTCAATCTCTGTTATATTTAAATGATTAGTTTTTGCTCTTTGAAAGTGAGGTTTTTCCATAAAGGGTGGGAAAGTGAAATGAAATTGTATTTTTCTTCCAGATTTCCTATGCTGGTTTCATAGTTTTATTCTTTATTTATAGTAACGATAGTAAACTTTAATTTAAAAAATGACTCTTTCAAAATTATGCTAGAAGTGACAATGGTTCTTTTATTGTACATTTTAAGTTTTTGTTTTATTTTAAAACATAGAAGTTTTTAACATAATACGCAAGTAAGTGGCTTAGGTTAAATTACTTTTGAAGAGTGACATCCTGGTGTCAGAAAACGCTAACTAGCCAGTTTATAAAGCCTAATTTTAGATATTTGGTTATGCGCTTGCAAAGTATATAAACAACTGCAATGTCATATTCAGCTGTGTCCCAAACAGCTTAGTCTTGCAACTGATAGTAAAGGACCCTAAGCAAGACATCCTTTACCAATGAAAGTATTATTAAAAAAAAAAAAAAAATTCAAGTTGTATTGCTGTCATAGAATATAGTTAATATCTATTTTAATTTATCAAACAATATAAAATAAAAACTTAAGATTTTTACTTTGAAAGTATTATTTGTATTATTTGGCAATAATACAAAAATACTTAAAAATAATGCAGGGGCTGGGACTGTAGCTCTGTGGCAGAGCACTTGCCTAGCATGTGCAAGGCACTGGGTTTGATCCTTAGTACCACATACAAATAAAATAAAGGCATACTACAAAAAAAAATTTAAATAATAATATTTCAGTTCCCGTTCAACTCTAAACGTGGTAGGTTTAAAATAGCAGATATGATAACGTTACATGTTCTTTTTTTATGTAGATTCCACCACTTATTTCTGTTCCTAACAGAGAACCTTTCTAATGCTTTCTCCAGATTAACTTTTCCTAGTTCTTCTTCACATCCAAGATCATAGAAGAATGTAAAGGCAATTTCAGACCCTCTTTTCAAGGAAAATGAACAGAAGTTTATAACAGTTTCCAAACAGTTTCAGGGTTTTTTTCTTTGTTTGTTTAGCCTACTGTAGTTCATCCATAGACTTTCTTGAAGCTACTAGAATCAGGTTAAGACCCTTTCCTAGCTGGGTGCAGTGGAACACACCCAGTGGCTCGGGAGGCTGAGGCAGGAGGATCAAAAGTTCAAAGCCAGCCTCGGCAAGGGCAAGGCGCTAAGCAACTCATGAGAACTATCTTTAAATAAAAATACAAAATAGGTCTGGGTTTGTGGCTCAGTGGTAGAGGACTTGCCTAGCATGTGTGAGGCACTGGATTTAATTCTCAGCACCACATATAAATATTTTTTTTTAAATAATAAAAGCCCACCAACAACTAAAAAATATTTTTAAAAAATAAAAAGAAAAAGACTCTTTCCCAAGTTGCTTCAGTTTCTCCACTGCACCTCTCAACCCGACTAAACCTGCTCTTCCCACGCTGGGATTTGGTCCCAGCATCAACTATCTCTATCCCTTACTAAAATCTCCCTTCTCTTTTGATTCAGCCTTTAAGATACAAGATGACCAGTCCCTAAGGTACAAGCTGACATTCTGAAATGTTTTATGGTTTAATAAGTTATACGAACTTAAAATGAGATCCTTATCAGATACTGTGGTTACTGTTTAACAAAGGTTTTAGTGTCTGTCTACAAAGAAAGTAATAAATGGGAAGGGAAGTAATTTAAATAAAGCTAACCTTAGTGTCAAATAATATCAACTCAGAGAGGAAACAGAAAATATACATCACTACAAAGGAGAAAATGCTAGAATGAAAGGAATGAGGAAATGTCTGCAGAAACCTAGAATCTGTAAACTTCACTGCAAAGTTGCTGCTCCCCCATGCTACAATTGCTATTTAACACTGACTACAATATTACAGATGTTTTGCCAATGCTAAGTCATTGTGTCTTATTAATCTTTCAACTGTTCGTAATACCTAATACAGTTAAATATAGCAACTTCTGTGTTTGAGCAGAATTTATAAACAGTCTTTTACTGTATTTTGGTCAGGGAATCTCATTATTTTGGTGGGGAACTCACTACTGAATAACACAATGAGAAAAATGACAATGAAGTTAAGCGAATATATAAACATGAAGAATATAGGTACATTTATTTCTATTCTTTATACATATGTTTAATTCATAGCAATTGAAAATATTTGATTTTTAAAAAGAGCTGAATTTATAAACTGAGGGGCAAAAGGCTGAGTACCTGTTGACATGTGACTACAGAGACAAGACTGATCTATACTCAATTTTTCCTCTGATTTCCATTTTAAGCAATGTTTCTTGGTGCCTAATCTCATTTTGATATAGAGTTAGAGTGTTCTATTAGACTATTAGATTCAGAAGAAGCAAAAGACAAAGACCATTCCTGCATGCTAAAGTCACCTTTGCATTGCACTTTGCAGTTGAAATGTGATTAACACCATCTTAGTTGAGTCTCACTGGTAGGCTGTGTGCACTACAGGGCAATCCAGAAGCAGGATCGTGAGTCCTCATCCTGTTCTCTTTCAACTACATCTCACCATGACCAGGGTATACAGAACCTGACTTTTTTCCACCTGTACATTTGCTAAATTAATTGAATTTTTAAAATATTTTTAAAATAAAATGTGAACCAAAGTTGTAGGTGGTTACGCTGTGTGAAATTAAAGAGCAACCTGTCAGCACAGGTTCTGTCCAGCTCTTAGCCAATGTCTTTTAATCACAGCCTGAAGGAAGCCAGTAGATACTGAAAATGCCTTTTGTCATCTAGCTTCTTCTGAGGGATTCTCTGGAAGACATCATGTTACACTCAGCTTTGGCCCTGTGCCTCTTATTTATCACAGTTTCTTCCAGCCTTGCCCTTGTAATCAGAAAGGAAAAGAAACCTCCACAGACCCTGTCAAGAGGTACTGTAATCTCATTTTATTTTCTAAACTCAATCACTTGGATTGTTTTTAAAAATACCTAATATTTTAACTACTATGAAGCAAAGAATGAACTAAATGTTTGTTGCATATGACAAACTTGAGTTAAAAAAGAAAGAAGGAACCAATTAAGATTTTAGGCAGTGAATCAAACCAACCCTCAAATAATAATAATTTTTGTATCTTTTGTAGAAATAGTGGGAAATTGATTTGATATCTATAATTTGGTAATTAGAATCCTAGAAAATTATTGATCGATAATGTCATAACGATATCCTAAAAGCAATTTAAGATTCAGAATTTGCTCAGATTCCCAGTATTCTATTTATTAAGGCAAGAAAATAATTTGGAATGATTTTATCCAAGGTTACTTAGAAAATGATACTTTATCCCAGACTCTGAGAATTTTGGTTAACCCTATAATGACTCTGGAAATAACTGCAGTTTTAGATATCAATCTAGACTTGTCATTGGGTACTGGTTTAGAAAACATTTCTAATTTTGTACTTACTATTTTTACTCTGTCCTAAGAAACTAATATATCTTCATGTAGGAAAAGAAAGTGTTCTGAAGAAAAAATTTTCAGAGTTGGTTCTTATCTTTCCAATTAACAAAATCATTTGTCCCCACGTTTAATTCAAAACTATGGGTATAATCACAAAGCACTTGACCACTATTTGGTAATGCGAATTGGGCAAACAAATTGAGATCAACCATAGTGTAATTTCAAATTCTAAAGCACTGCCTGACTTTCCAAGTCCATTCATTTCTTAACAGATATACTGAGTACCAGCGAAGTACATCCATCATTATTTACAAAGTTCAACTTCAGTTGAACCATCATACTAACTATATCTAGAAAGGCAATACTTTTTTGTTAAAGTAATAAAAATGGAAAATGTTTTCCTAGATATAATTTATTATATAGATCTTATCAGGTTCAAGGCCATGGGCCTATTTGACGCACAGTCCTAAATCCTTCATACTATAATCTAAATGGACAGCACTCTTTGTAAGCCAGTTATAAATGTGTATCCTTAACACCACATGCTATCCAACTGCTTAGTAGCTGAGTTAAATGTCGGTAGTTAGATATCTGCTTACCAAAACCCACCCAGAGCTCTTCTATAGTCCTTAATTAATACATTGATTTCTCCCTTCTACTTCAGGATGGGGCGATGACATCACTTGGGTACAAACTTATGAAGAAGGTCTCTTCCATGCTCAGAAAAGGTAAAATACCTCTCAGTTAATTTTCATAGATTATACAGATGCCTAATAAGAGTACTCAAAACAGGCACGTAACCTTTTGAAGGGTTGCCACACATATTTGTTCTACTCTTGTATTTGGTTTGAAAAAATAGTTGCTGTTAGAACAGATTTTTTTTAATTAAAAAAGGCTATAAATACTACTATATTAAATCCTTCATCACCTTAGCAAGCTTTTGAATATAAGTTGTAGAAACAAAATAGTATTACTAATTAGGCATAATATAAGCTTAAATAGGAAATTGATTTAAGCCAACAGTCCTTCAGCTTGTCTGTTTATCAAAACAATCTGGGGCCTTTTTCAAACTCATATTCATAGTTGATCAACCAAATACTCAATGGCCAAAAGTTTTTATCCTTAAAGACCTATTAAATATTTGAGAAACCTCGTATTTTTTAAATCTCCCCAAGAATTTATCAAATATCTAAAAAACATCCAATTCCAATATTCCTTCAAGAAATAATATACCAAATTAAATGAGAATTGGTTAAGCATTCTCAAAACTGGCCAAATATTACAAAAAAAGAGAAGTCTACAGAATATTATTTCCAAATATTAATGTAACAAACAACATATCAGTAAAGTACAGCCTTGATAAAATGAGGTTTAGTCTGAAAGTTCCAGGATGATTAAAGATTAAGAAACATATTAAATAAAATAATTTAATATGTATAAAGAGGCAAATCATACAAATATCTTCTATGTCCACAAATGCTGGAAAGATGTTTAATAGAATGCAGTATCTATATCTGAAATTTTTAAGCTGATATTTTAAAATATTAATTGAATTTAATTAAACTGAACTTAACAAGAAAAAAATAAAAGTTAATATCATGTTTACTGGGATAACAAAGAGAAGTCCCTCATTCATGTCTGAGTAAGATGTCTACCATAGTATGCTTATTTTAAGTCCTCTGGGTACTAGAAGAATGAGAGGTTATATTCCATTTTCGTATGATCTATCAAAATGCATTCTACTGTCATGTATAACTAATAAGAACAAATTAAAAAATCTAAAAAAAAAGATGTTCCCCATCAGCAAAACTGTTAACTATTAATTATTATTCTGGAGGTATAGACAATGAGACTAAATGACAGTGTAAAAGTATAAAACTTGGAAAGGAGAGGATACAAGTATCTTTGCATATGATGCCTGCATACATGAAAAACTAAAGGGAAACAAAGACTAGATGGAATAATGAAAACTCGAATTACACGAGAATAAATTAACATAGAAGTCAATAATAGAACTTAAATACATGAGAGTACATTCAAATAAATTTTAAAATATCCTACTTAAAATGGCAACCAAAAAGTTTAAATACCTCAGAATAAACTTGGCAGAAAATGTAAAAAAGTTATTGAACTAAAATTAACTTGATAACCTAGAAAACTTAATTCCTACATACAAAACTTACCAAGACTAAAGCATGAAGAAATAAAAAAATTTGAATAAACCAATGAGCAAAGAGATTTTATTCATAATAAAAATCTCCCATGAAAGAAAAGTTAAGGATCTGAAAACTTCACTGCTGACTTCTACTAAGTTTTTAAAGAACTAATACTAATCCTTCTAAACTTTCCCAGAAAATTGAAGAGAAAAGACTATTGCAGGGCTGGGGTTGTGGCTCAGTGGTAGAGTGCTTGCCTAGTATGTGTGAGGCAGTGGGTTCAATTCTCAGCACCTCATATAAATAAATAAATAAAGGTCCAGCAATAACTAAAAAATATATATTTAAAAAAAATTTAAAAATTTAAAAAAGAATATTGCAAAACTCATTTAGTAAGGCTAGCATTACCCTATTTAAAAGTCAGACAAGGACACTATAAAAAAGAAAATTAGTACTGGGGATGTAGCTCAGTGGTAAAGCACCCTGGGTTTGATTCCCAGTATTAAAACAAAACAAAAAACAAACCAAAAGAATGATTCACCATGATTGAGTAGAATTTATCCCTGGGATGCATTTAACATATGCGAATCAGTAAATATGAGATACACTACTTTCAAAGAATGAAAGACAAAACTCAGATGATCATTTCAGTAGATTCAGAAAAGCATTTGCAAAATTCAACATCCATTTAAAATAAAAACTCTCGACAAATTAGATACAGAAGGGACGTGCCTCAACACAGTAAAGCCCTGTGATGAGCCCATAGCTACCATGTTCAATGGTGAAAGGTGGAAAGATTTTTCTAAAAGATCAGGAATAAAACAAGGATGCCCACTCTTACCACTTCTGTTCAACACAGTACTATTAGAAGTCTGTGTAATTAAGCAAGAGAAAAAAGTATCCAAATCAGAAGTTTAATTTCCCTGTTTGCATGTGATGAGATCTTATACAGAATAAACTCGAGAAATATTCCACCAAAAGCTGTTAGCTAAAAAAATGAATTTCATAAAGTTTCAGGAGACAAAAGCAATATATGAAAATCAGTAGTGTTTCCATACAACAATGAACCATACAAAAAAGAATCAAGAAATCAATCCCATTTATAATAGCTATCAGTGTATGTACATACACACCATCCCCCCACCTCTCAAGAATAGATTTAATCAAGGTGGCAAAATATCTATGCACTGAAAACTATAAAACATAGATGAAAGAAATTGAAGAGAACACAAAGAAATGGGAAGATGCAAGGACTGGAGAAATTAAAATTGTTAAAATGTCCTCAGTACTCAAAGCAACCTATAGATTCAATACAATCCCTATCAAAATTTTAATATTTTCCACAGAAATGAATAAAAACTATCCTAAGAAGACAAAAATCCCAATAGTCAAAACAATCTTGAGCAGAAAGAACAAAGCTGGAGGCATCATAATTCCTGATTTCAAAATCAACTACAAAGCTATAGAAATAAAAATAGCATGGTACTAGCATAGAAACAAACCCATGTGTTTTTCCATGAAACACAGAGGAAAACCTAGATATAAACCCACACATTTATAGTGAATTGATTTTTTTTTTTTTTGATGCCAGGGATTGAGTCCAGGGTCATCCTCATGTCAAGCACATGCTTTGCCACCAGGCAACACCCCTAATCTGTAGTCAATTGATATTTGATGAAGACTCTAAGGATACACAATGGGATAAATCAGTCTCTTCAAAAAGTAGAGCTTGTAAAACTAGGTATCCACTAGCAGAATAATTAAATCAGAACTTCATCTCATACCATACACAAAATTCAAGCAAAAATGGATTAAAGATTTACTTATTTACTTACTTATTTGGGGGTATTGAACTCAGGAGCACTCAACCATTGAGCCCACATCCCCAGTCCTATTTTGTATTTTATTTGGAGACAGGGTCTCACTGAGTTGCTTAGCGCCTTGATTTTGCTGAGACTGGCTTTGAACTCTGATCCTCCTGCCTCAGCCTCCCGAGCTTCTGGGATTAGAAGTGCATGCCACCACAACTGGCTTGGATTAAAGATTTAAATGTTAAGACATTCAACTGTAAAACTACTAGAAGAAAACAGGAAGCAAGCTCCATGATATTGGTCTGAGCAATGGTTATTTGAATAAGACCCCAAAAGCAGTGGCAACGAAAGCAAAAACAGAAGAATGGGATTACATCAAACAAAAAAGTTTCAGCACAACTAAGGAAACAATCCACAAAGTAAAGAACCTGTGAAATAGGAGAACATATTTGCAAACCTTGCATCTGAAAAGGGGTTAATGTCAAAATATATCAGGAACTCAAATTACTCAACAAAACAGGTAATGGGCAAAGTAGACATACAAATGACCAACAGATAAAATACCCAACATCTCTCATCATCAGAGTAATACAAATTAAAACCACAGAAGATATTACTGCATCTGTTAGATCAGCGATTACAAAGAAGATGAAAGATAGCAAGTGTTGGCAAGGATATGGAGGAAAGAGAACCCTTGTACACTGTTGATGGGATTATAAATTAGCATAGTCATTTTGGGAAACAACATCATTTCCTCAAACCACCAAAAATAAAATTAACATATGATCCAGCAATACCACTACTGGATATGTACACCAAAGGCATGCTGTGGAGACATCTGGACTCCCTTGTTCGTTGCCACACTAGTCACAATAGCCAAGATATAGAAACTACCTGTGTATCCATCTAGGGATAAATGGATTTATAAAATGTGGTATATACTCATGATAGAATATTATTCAGCTTTAAAAAACTAAATTCTGTGATTTGCAACAATATGGATGAACCTAGAGAACATTATGTTAAATAAGCCAGGCAGAGAGAGAGAAATACTATATAAAATCACCTATATGTAGAATTTTAAAAAGTTATATACATAAGTAGAAAGGAGAATGGTGGTTGCCAGAAACTGGAGGAGGCAAAGGAGAGGATGGGAAAGGAGAAAGGTTGGTCAGCAGGTACAAAGCTGCATTTAGATGGGAGGAGTAAGTTCTGATGTTCTATTGCACAGCAAGGTAACTATATTCATAATAATGTAGATTTCAAAATAAATAGAAAGTTTCTAAAGTTTCTAAGTTTCTCACCATTAAGAAATGATAGTTATTTGAGTTGACATTTAGGCTAAAAAGAAGCAGCCAAAAAATAATGAAAAAATGCTCAGCCTCACTAATCACAAGAAAATGAGGTATTAAAACCACAATGAGGTTTCAGTTCATACCTTTAGATTGGGTATGATCAAAAAGATGAAAACTAACACATCCTGGCTAAAACATAGAGAAAAAGGAACCCTTGCTCATAGTTGATGAGAACATAATGTAGTAAGAGCCATTATGAAAAATAGTGTGGAGTTTCCTCAAAAACTTAAAAAGTAAAAGTAAAATTGATGGTCACACAGGTATATATCTAGAGGATATAAAATCAATATGTCAAAAATCTGTATTTCCTTGTTTATTGCAGCACTATTCAGAATAGCCAAGTCATGGAATCAGCCTAAGTGTCCATGAACAAATGAATATGGAAAATATGGCACATACATACTCTGGGGAATTTGATTCAGTCTTTGAAAGAATGAAATATGGTTATTTGCAAGAACAAGGATGAATTTGGAGGATATTGTGTTGTTTGAAATAATTCAGGCCCAAAGCAACAACTATCACATGATCTAACTTATATGTGGAGTTTTAAAATGTCAAACTAAGAAAAATGTAATCGTGGTTACCAGAGGATGAAAGTGGAGAAGTGGGTACTAGGGAGATACTGGTTATAGGATACACATTTCAATTAGGAAGAATATATTCAGAGACATTATGCATCATGATGACAATAGTTAATAACATTATATACTTGAAAATTGCCAAGAGAGTAGATTTTACTTGTTCTTATCATAAAAAGTATGTGAAGACACGCTTATGTTTAAAAACTTGATTTAGCCACGTCATAACATAGAGATGTATCAAAATACCATGTTATACACAATAAATATAGAAAACTAATATAAACATCAATATCTGCAATTCTCCTTGTCAACTAAATTGGTCATCTGTTACTAGAATATTTTACATGATGAGTGGTAGGAAACATAGATTCTGAAATAATTAGTACTAAAGAGAATTTGGTAGCCATCTGTGAAAATATTAAAAAATTGGATTCTTACCTCACACATTTATACCAAAACAGATTACAAAGATGAATTTTATAAAAATTAAATAATTAAGGTACTAAAAGATACTATTTCAAACATGTACTTAAGTCCTTATAATAAGGGAAGTCTAAGATTAGGGTGAGATGAAAATAAAGCTATTCAATTCTCATCCTAGCTCCTCCTCTTGCCTTACCACATTCCTGCCCTTAATTGTGGCCCAGTTAAAAGGAGAAAAGAAAAAGAAGCAACTAAAATATGTAGTATATTTAATACATGAATTTTCTGCATACCAAATAAATACACATAAGCAAAGGAAGAAGGCAGAGAGAGAGGAGAACTGTAGTGTATATTACAAAGGTGAATTTCTCTAGTATACAAAATATTCCTAAAAATTAATAGAAGTTCAAGACAATAGAAAAAAAAGTAGCAAAGGATGTGGTAGTTCCAGAACAGAAAAATAAGTAACTCAAACATAAGATAGGCTGATTTATAAGATAATAAAACCACCTTAACTTCTGTCTTACTACTGGATTAAAAAGTTTAAAACTTGAGAACTAATTTTCGTGAAAGTAGAGGAAGTAGTTACCATTCACATTACCCGAGTGAATATGAATTGGTATAGCTTTTATGCAGAATATACATCAAAATTATAAATGCACATACTCTTCAACCTAGAAATTCTGTTTCTGAAACTTATTCACAGAAATACTTACCCATCCATAAAAGCATATGTAACTACATATTCACTAAAGAAATGTTTATATAAATCTAAATGTTTAGAAGCAATCTAAAATGGGAGATTGGAACAATTTAAATACCCATCTTACAAATACATGTGTGTTTGTATATGTGGGTTTTATTTTATTGTGTTTTTTAGATAGGGTCTTGCTAAGGTTCTCAAGCTGACCTCCAAACTCGGGATCCTCCTGCTTTAATCTCCTGAGTAGTTATAGTATAGGCATGTGTCATTGCACCCAGTCTGGTTTTGTTTTGTTTTGTTTTTTCCCTTGCAGTACTAGGGATTGATCCCAGGGATTTGTGCATACTAACCAAGTGCTGTACCATTGAGTTACATCCATAGCCCCATTTTTTTTTTAATTTAAAGAAAGAAATATGTATATATGCATTCACATACACGTGTACATGAATCTGGACTTATACAATATATATATACTCAAGAAATCCTCTGGAAGGGACCCTGAGAAATAATAATACTGCTTACATATGGAAGCCAGAAGGGGGAGGAAAAATATTTACCGCTTTAACTTTTGAAATTTTAAACCAGCTGAATTTGTCATCTATTTTAAAAAAAACAAAAGTAGAGAATTTATGAAGATTATTCACCAAATGATGATAAGCATTGAGGCTTTTGCAGGCTCTAATTCTAGAGTCTCTAAAGTACAACTACTAATACTCTTTCTCTCAACTCACATTTCTTACCATCTGAAGTGCCAGTTCACAAGGTTTTAACTAAGAGGCCACCCACCCTTTTTATACACTGTGAAAGCTAAAAATTATTATTACATTTTAAAATGTTTAATAAAAATCAAAAGAATAATATTTTGTGACATGTGAAATTCAAATTTTAGTGCCCATAAAATAAAGTTCTACTGCAACAGCCACACTTGTTTATTAAACATATTCTTTACGGCTGTTTCTGTGTGATGATGGCAGAGTTGAGTACTTGCAAATGAAACCATGTGGCCTACAAACTCTCAAATATTTACTTTCTGCTCCTACTAGAAAAAAAATTTTTTGGAGCCTTATTTTAGACTGTTGCTACTTCTGCCAAAAATGTTCCTGTGCTTTTCTTGAAATGAAAGAGTGTCTCCGTTTGAATGTATGAACAGCTCATTCATAACTGAACCCTTAAGAGTGAGTCTTCTATATGCCTGATAAATTTTTCCTTGGATTCAAATTGCCCAGAAATCTGAAGGTTTAAGTTAGTTTCCCAAGAGTTACTTCAATCCCTTTTCCTGAACACTGCTGGGCTTGTTTCTAGCGGATGTGTAGCTGCTGAGAAGAAACCGTAGCACATCAAGAAAACAGGACTCAACACTAAATTGTTGGTCTATGTCTCAGGACAACTACACCCCCTAAATTCAAACAAAGAGGTTGTCTCAAGTCAAAATTACTTGGTTGATGCTTATAATATCTGAGTTCCAGAGCTGAGAGAATAGATTTTAAGTGTTATCAACATAAAAAAAATTCAATAAATATTCTTACACTTAGTTTTCTACTAACAAAAAGTGGGGATAATATTTCATTCGTTGGATCTCTAGTCTTTTTCACCAATAAGTTTGAAGTTGTTGGAAAATGCCAGCTTTCCAGCTATGTTATAAATCTTCACAGGTAAGTTGTAGGGTTTATTCTTACCTAAAATTTACTTGAATCCCAAATTGGAAGATTAAAGAAAATTATTAAGTTTGAAGTTTATGTTTAACACTTATTGAAACTGAAATATTGGGTACAGCATAGACTTGTGCAAGGAGAGCAATTTATATGATTATATCTGTTAATTATATTTTTAAAAGACTTATGCTGAATATATCAGAATCGATCTCCTTTGATATTCACAATATTCTCAGGATTAAAGCTGCATTTTAAAATTCATCCTAAATATCTTAGTCTATTTATATCGGTATAACAAAATACCTGAAGCTAGGTAATTTATAAAAAGAGGTTTATTTAGTTCACAGTCAGGGAGGTTCAAAAGTATGGCACCTGCATCTGCTTGAATCTGGTGAGGGACTCATGGCAGATGGCATCACACAGCATGAGTGCATGTAGAAAGGAGAAACAGTGGAAGTTCCAAGCTCACTGAGAACAATGCATTCTTTTGGGAACTAATCCAATCCCAGGAAACCAGACCCACTTCAATGAGACAGCACTAATACTTTCGTTAGTGTAGAGTTCCCATGACCTCATTACCTTATAACTAGGCCCCACTCTTACCTCCACCACACTGGGTACCAATCATTCAATACAAAACCTTTAGGGGAACAAACCACATCCAAACCATAACATATCGAAATCATAGTTGTTACACCTTACTATAGTTAATATTCTCATTATTCTTTTAAAGCAAAGAGCAAGGAAGTAAATTAGTAAATGCTAACTCAAGTACTGCCATTAAAACTTTTTTTCAGAGTTAAAATCAAAATGACCCTGAAAAATGTATTCATATGAAATCTTCCATTAGGTTGTTTACAAATTATAAATTGGTATAAGAAAGAATGTGGAAATTGTCAAATATTACTAGATTTTTTGTAAAAATAAACATTTGATGGTCCTGAAATCATATACCAAGTATTCATTGGCAATGAATATTTTGTTCATAATATCTTTTTATCTTTGGAGATACAATTAATTTTTATTTATCTAACTTCACTATCATGTACATAAGACTCAACCACTATGTTTGTTAAGCTGCAGATTCCTGGACCTCATAGCTAGCAATTTTAATTGAGCAAGTCTAGGATGGCCTAGGCTAGCTCATAGCTAGCCTATGAATTTACATTCCTAACATGCTACTTGATGACCTTCATGCTATCAGTTCTGGGGCCACAATGCTATAGACTACATTGTTATGATGTGTAAATCTAAGATTATAAATCTTACCAAATATAACAAAACTGGGCTGGGGATATAGCTCAGTTGGTAGAGTGCTTGCCTTGCAAGCACAAGGCCCTTGGTTCAATCCCCAGCACCACAAAAAAAGAAAAAATAAAAAAAAATAAATCCATGACCATCTTAAAAACTAAATAAATAAATAACAAAACTTTGTCTAATTCCACTGTATGTTTTGTCTTGATGTTAATCTCCTGACATTTCCACACTGCCTTTTTAGTAACAAGCCATTGATGGTTATTCATCACTTGGAAGCCTGTCAATACAGCCAAGGTAATTTTATTTCTGAGATCCTATTATATGTCCAATATGAAGTAGAAACGTGACTGATAAGAACAGTTATGAGGATACTACACAAACCCCATTTTAAAAGAGTACCACCATTTTACCAAGATGCTTGAAGTCCACAATGACTGCTAGAATGTATTTCTATCAAATGCCCTTTGAAATTTAATATCCCTTTTCCTCCCATAAAAAAAGGAGAGCAAGTGGGAAAATGTGCCGAAAGAACTTGTTTTAACCAATAAGTCAATAAGTTACGAGGAGTTAAAACTAGTGTCCCCATTAATGATTATTCCTTCATGTTTCCGTGGACAGACTGTCACTCATTGCTTCCCAGTGAGGGACTAAGTGGCAAAAGGTCAACAAACCATTTACACCCACGTTATTGCTGCAAACAAATTCAAAACACAAGGTTTGTTTTGTAATGTTATATTGAAGATGTTTTGATCCTTAAAACTAAAATTTTATTTTCCCTCACAGCACTAAAAAAAGTATTTGCCCAAAATGAAGAAATACAAGACATGGCTCAGAATAATTTCATCATGTTGAATCTCATGGTACATGAACTCAACAATATTTTCTTTTTTTATCATTCCATTATGACCTTAAAAAATAGTGGAATTGTCATATATTCATATGTGCATATAACAGTTCAGTTTCATTGTCCAGTACCTTTCTTTTTCCTCCATTCCTCCCTCTCCCTATTCCCATCCTGTATTCTACTGATCTTCCTTCTATTTTCATGAAAATCCCTTTTCTACTTTTTTTTCCCCTCCTAGCTTCCATGTAGGAAAGAAAACATGACCCTTGAGTTTCTGAGTGTGGCTTATTTCCCTAACATGATTTTCTTCAGTTCTATCCATTTACTACAAATGATATAAATTTCCTTCTTTATGGCTGTGTAAACAATGTTTTCTTAATATCATAATTTAATGGAAGATTTGAATCCTTTTATTCTATTTTCAAAACATACAGAGTTAAGTATTGGTTGATATAGAATATTATATAGAATCATAAAAGGCCAAAATTTACAATCTACTAAATTTAGTTCACATAAAATATTTTTATATTAACTATCAAAAACCATCTAATCCAATAACAGTCATTTCTTTCTTCTTCTGCTAGCATGAGACCACTGACAAGAATTTATCACCTGATGGGCAGTATGTGCCTAGAATCATGTTTGTTGGTATGTGTATAATCTCATTGTGTCAGATTTACAAAATTGATATGATTCTCAGCATTCTTGATTCTATTTGTTTTTAAATGCTAACTCAAATACTATTATTTTTAAAGGGAAGTCATTTCTAACAAATTATATTATGTTATTAATTCTATAATATAATTTCACTATATTACTTGTAAAGTTTATTTTTAAAAAGCAACTTACGCTATTAAATCAATATCCCAATGTATTTCTAGTACGGTGCCCCAGACTAGTGAGAATTATAATATAACACACTTAAAGGAAAATTTAGGTTAATTCATCATGAATTCACATGCATAGAAATTAATTTTGCTTATAAATTTACTTGACTTTTGTTTTAGAGTAGGAGGGGGAAAATGATTTTCAAAACATGTTGAATAGTATTTCAGTGACTTGTTTTTTTGTTTTGTTTTGTTTTGTTTTTTCTTGACAGACCCTTCCCTAACAGTCAGAGCTGATATAACTGGGAGATACTCTAACAGATTGTATACATATGAACCTCAGGATTTACCAATATGTAAGTATTTAAGAATCGCCTTGGACAGTGTAATAGCTGACCCCTGACTATTAAAAGGGCCAAAGAAGGCCTATATCAGCACTCTCACAAACTCCTACCTCCCACCAAAATCTGAATTTCTGGGGCACCCCAGAATCTCAGGGATGCTGAAGAATTCTTGTGATCACTAAATTCTGGAACAACTGAAAGAACTTTGTATGCATTACAATGACACAACCTCAAGGTAGTGTATTCTTTTTGTGTAAAAAAAAAATACATATGATTTCCTCAAATTATAACAGTGAAATGTTTTTGTCTTCCTTTAAGAACTATGAGCAAGAAGGTAGAGACTTAGGACTTCAATCCATTTTTTACAACCTCTACTATTAGCTGTATTAAAGAAGACAGTTATGCCTCTCAGATCCAGCAATACTGGGTCAGTTAATAACTGATTAAAGAGAAAATACCTACTCCCTCTGATAAATTGTTTATCATAAAGAAATTTGATCTGATCTAATCTATAAATTCACATGTATATCTTTAGCATAAAATTCTTCAATGTCAGTTGATGAATTCTCATGTTTTCAAAGCTATTAATTTAAATGGACTTATTTCAGATCCTAGCAACAATTATTACATATGATTACTTTCATTTACTAATATTTCAATGTCTGTTTACTTTTATTTCAGTGATAGAAAACATGAAAAGAGCATTAAGACTTATTCAATCAGAGTTATGAAGAATGATGGAAAATTTCTTTAATTCTGAGGTCAAATACCATGAAGAAAACATCTGACTCACTGACAAAACCTAAATGTGCAAATATATGGATTTTCTAATGCTATTTAGATTTTTTTAATGTGTTTTAAATATTCTTGTGACAATAAAATGATATTTCAATAAATGTTGTTAAGACATGAACATGACAATGTAGTAGTTCAACTTCTATTTGCATCAATAGCAAGAAAGCTTGTGTAAGCCAAGAGTTAGGAAAGAGGTGTCTATTCTATTTCCTCACATCTCACATCTCACTCTACCAACAACTCATCTAATTTTACATCTAACCTCTCCACTGTATTTATCACCATAGTGTACATCATAAATGATCATAAATGATCTTCATGGTACCAAAGCAAATGTATGCATTTTGATCACTTCTTATTTGAATAGCATAATTCAGAGATAACCACTTACTTATTTTCCTCCTTTATATTTAGATATACATTTATAATCCAATTACAACAAATTTACAATATAATTTAAAAATTCAATTGTATGTTTTCCTAAATTATTGAGCAGGTACTTTAAACTTTTAATATTTTAACAACAGTGTAACTTATCCAGGAAGATTGAAGCATTTCTCCACTTAACTAACAGAAAAGGATTCTGTTTTTCATCTGAAATGATCAGATATCCAACTAACAACTCAGTTCTTCATAGGAAGCTTCCAGAGGATCAATCATGTCTTCTACTCCCTTAAATAACAACAAAATTCCTGCTAATAGAAATTCCACAATCAGCCAGGAGGAATTATCAGAAGATAGAAAATGTTTTAGGTGGGCTAAACTTTTTCTGGCCCATAGAATTTGATGGCATTTGACAAAATCTGAATTGTTTTGAGATATAAGAGTGCACTTTTACATATGATAGATATACAATGTCTATAATCTAGACACTTGAATAATTCTAATGTTTGATGAGCCAGAGAAAGAAATGTTTCCACCATTCTGTCACTTTTAAGTAGACCTTTACTAAACTTATCTATTTGAATATAAACAGGTTATGTGACCATTAGTACTAAATATCCATGTATTCTTATTTGGCAAACAAATATTAATATTCTATATTAATGTTTATACCCTCTCTTATTTTTTTATATCAAAGTCTGGAGTTAATTTCTTAAATGAATGCTAGATATCCAAATGCACTGGCATTCTCTGACAATAATTTAAATTTAAAGGCTAAATTAAAAATTAAATATTAAATTTAAATACTAAAGTAATAAACTTGATTTCATTTCTGCATAAATCACATAGAGGTAGAAAATGTGGCAGTCATTTTCTGTGAACTACAGAAGAAATTAGTTGTTAATAATAAATAACCCTAAACATTCACTTATTTTTCTTTAGTGTAAAGATGTTATTAAATGATAAATTGTTCTTGATAATAAAAATAGATATATCTTTATATTTTAACATACACTTATTATTCATGATTGTATAAACTAACAATATTATATACATAATTATTTTATATAAATCATATCAGTAAGTGTACCTTGTAACCAATTTTTCTTTCTCTATCCTACTTTACAAATTAAATTCTATATCCTAGTTGATATTTCTAGCTAGTATCTTCACTATACAAAATTGCATGCTTTGATTTCATCTTCTCTAACTTTGCCCCTGCCTTTGAAATGTAGGACTATACTTTGTGTTGGAGGAAGTACATGTATAATGTACTTCTGTTTATGCTCATAACCTCCAAAACATTATTTCTTCCCTAAAACATTCAAGGAAAAAAATCACTACTATCAACTATCTGAAATAGTACAAACAGTTCGGTGTGCCTAGGTCTTTGTATAAAGGAGCTTTAGAGACCTCATTTGCATTTCAAAGAGAGATAAGAGTCAAAATTTTATCTATTAAATATTATCTAGAATAGGGTTGTCAGGTGAGCATTCAGCTAACTTTAAATCAGAGATGAACAACTTTTTCAATATAAATATGTCTTGTGCAATATTTGGGATATACTTATACTAAAATCTATTTGTTTATCTGAAACTTCAGAATTAACTGGATAACATTTCTTTTTAGGTACTAATCCTAGCAATCCTGCTTATATTTATTTTACTAGACCTGTCCCTTTCTCCTCTTTTTCTTTTTTTTTTTGCTTCAAATAACATTTATATTTCAAGTCAATATCTCAATTTCTGAAATCAAAACACTCTGAATTAATAATTTTATAGCTTTTAATTCTTCCCAATGATCCAACATCTAATTTCTACTCTATAGTATCTAATTTCTACCAGATACTATATTTGGTATTGTGGATCTAAAGATGAAATGGATAAAAATGAGGCAATCTTGTTCCCCCTAAAGAAATCAGTCGAGTGGTAAAAAAAAATGCCATATCATGGACAGGAAGCAACTCCTTATCAAACAATGTAAAAGAATGATGTGGATCAACACTGAGATAGGCCAACTGTCTAACAGGGCTGTCAGGCTTCACACAAAATGTCTCATCCATGAGTCTTGAATAGTATGTCTTCCATCATTACAGAAACCAAAATGATAAAGTAGCAAATAAAGTATACTACAGGGCTAAGGAAATTCTTGTTCATTGGTTTAACCCTAAAACATAAAAGTATATGAAGTTTTTTTGTTAGGGCCTTTAAAATTTTAGAGTTAACAAGAGTGTGCTAAGCTTCAAGAGAGTTTACACTTTTAACACATTGATTTACATGCACAAAGATTTCTAAAATTTTGCTTAAGATTTATAGTAATGCTTTCTGAAACAAAATTATATGCAATTTGTATATTCATGAACACCCTTAATGAGTGAAGAATTCTTCAGTAAGGACTTTTCTACATCTTAAATATGTTTCTTATGTAATAGATACCTTTTTACTGAGCAGTTTTCTAAGAGCAAGAAAACTCTTAGAAGCAGAAAGATAGTTTCTTCCCCCCTCCCCCACTCTCTTTCACTCATACATACACACTCATTTTTTTCCTCAAAAATAAATTGTGTTGAGTATGAAGAGGACAGGGTTGTGGATAGCACCCACAACAAGATTCTTTTTTTCTGGTTTTAGGGATTGAACTCACAGAAACTCAACCACTGAGCTACATCCACAGCCCTATTGTGTATTTTATTTAGAGACGGGGTTTTCCTGTGTTGCTAGCACCTCACTTTTGCTGAACTAGCTTTGAACTTAGGATCCTCCTGCCTCAGCCTCCCAAGCTGCTGGACACAACAGGATTCTTTTAAACACCTGACTGACTGGTGTTTACAGTGATTCTATTTATGAATATGAGTCTACAAACATTTTCTGGACAAAATCTACTAAAATGCAATTGGATATTTTCTCCATATATCATATACTTATTGCCACAATTTCTGAAAATATATTTATTTTCTAAAAGAGGTTGATTCTGCCCCTCAAAAAAAATTCATAGGTTGAAGTCCTAACCCTTAATACCTCAAATACAACTTTATTTGGAAATAAGGTCATTGAAGATGTAATTAGTTAAGATGAGATTATACTGAAACAGGGTGGGCCCAATATAACTGGTATTCACATAAAAGGAGAAATTTGAACACAGAGACAAGCATATGTAAGGAACACACATAAATATGAAAGCAGTGATTGAGGTCATGTAACAACAATGAAGATTACCATCTAGCCTCCTGGGTGAGAGATGTGGAAGAGATTCTACTTCACAGGCCTCAGAAGGAAGCATCCCTGCTAAGATTTTGCTCTCAGACCTCTCACTTGCAAAATTGAGAGAAAATAAATCTACTTTTCTATGAGTGCCTTAGCAAAGCAGTACAGATGCTTTTCCCTCCCATTCCCAACTTGTAGGAATCCATAATGGGTAAGGATACACCAAAACTTCCCATCACACACTTCAAAAGAAGCCCTAAAAGAAGAAGAAGGAGGAAGAGGAGGAGGAGGAGGAGGAGGAGGAGGAGGAGGAGGAGGAGGAGGAGAAGCAGCCCCATTAAAACGAAAGAATCATTTCTCACAATAAGTTTGTCAGAATCTATTTCATCCAAGCAAATATTAAAAGTTATTTCAATCCTCAAAAGATATTTCTATCACTGATTAAGTTAATCAAGTTTATGAAATGCCTACAACCAAAAATTCAAAAGCAAAAGTCATTCCAAAGAAAGAATTATTATAAATTGGTGTTTTTAGTTGTAATTCAAACAAACATAAGTTGAATCTTCTTTATGTTCCAGGAACAAAACTGAAGTCTTTGCATGAATTAGAATAGTAATAGCTCCCTACCAATGAGAGCTAGGACTATCTTCATTTTACTTAGGAGTTAGGTGGGGACCAAAGATGTTCAAAAACTTGGAAAGAGGTAACACTGCAAATTAGCAGTAGGTACCCCAATCCAACAATTTTGGTTCCTGTGTCCACAAATTTCACTGTCATACTTTACTGGTTTTGAATGATATTGGTGTAACCAGTATGGAAAGTAGTATGGAGATTCCTTTAAAAACTTGTAATGGAATCACCATTTGACCTAGCTATCTCACTCCTCAGCCTATACCCAAAGGACTTAAAAACAGAATACTACAGGGACACAGCCACATCGATGTTTATAGCAGCACAATTCACAATAGCTAAACTGTGGAACCAACCTATATGCCCTTCTATAGATGAATGGATAAAGAAACTGTGGTATATATACACAATGAAATATTGCTCAGCATCAAAAGATAATAAATTATGGCATTTTCAGTAAATGGATGGAGCTGAAAAATATCATGCTAAGCAAAGTAAGCCAATCCCCCAAACCAAAGGCCGAATGTTTTCTCTGATAAGTGAAGACTAATCTATAACAGGGGGAAGGACATAGGATGGGTAGAGGGAGGGGAAGGGAGGGGAGATGAAAGTAGGTAAGATTGTGGATTGCGATAGACATGATTACCCTAGGTACATGTATAATTGCACGAATGGTGTGACCCTACTTTGTGTACAACCAGAAGTGAATATTTGTGCTCCATTTGTGTACAATTAATCAAAGAGCATTCTGCTGTCATGTATAACTGATTAGAATAATATATATATATGATTAAATCAAACTCATGTTTATGTAACACAAAAACTATTTAGACTATGTCCTTTATTAGACAGTTAATTAACATGGATTTCATTTATGTATTAGA